ATATATATATATATATATATATATATATATTGAATTTGAATATTAAGGACAGGACAAAAAGTCGAGAGGAGTAAGAGGATATATGCTCTCCCAAAAAGAATATTACATAATGAATTAATGGTTTGGGCATAGAGGCCGAATCGTTCGAGTGGGCAAGTTTTCTTTTTTCTTTTCTTTTTTAATTTAATTTAAATATTTTAATTGTTAATATTTGAAAAAAATATAAATTTACCATTTTAACATTTTAAATTTGGTCAAATTTAGTCAAAATAGGTAAAAAAAAAAAAAATTATTTTTCTGGTCAACTAACGTTCAATTGGATGAAAAAGTTAATTTATCCTTGTGTTGCAACTAAATTAAATGTTTGGGATGATGTGTAACACGAATGAAAAGTTTGAGTAAAGTCTACGAGAAAATGAAGGTTTGTGACTGTGGCGGCAATTCTCCTTAAAATTAACCCTCTAGAGCTCAAATTCCCAAATTAATTTTCAATTCCACAATTCCCAATAAAATAATTTTGCACGTGGACCTATAAATTTTTTCTACTCCTTTCTTCAAAAAAATATTTTTCACAAAATTTTTTCGTAAGAAATTTCTACCAAACATGGGATGGATATAATAAGATAAAACTTAAACATTCTAGTTTAACGTCAAATGCAACTTCTTAGAGGATTTTTAAAAAATTCTTCAAACATAAAATGTTCTTTATTTTAGAGAGTAAAATATTTAAATTAGCCTTCAATAGACTTTATTATAACTTTCTAAAATTGATGGCGAATTTGACTCTTCAAATGTAGAAAGTCAAATCCAATGTCATTTTTAATTTTATAAGAGTAAATTGCATCTAGAGATCCAAACCTTTTAAAACAGTGTGGTGGGTTACAAGCCTCTCATTTTGTCTAAACACCCAAAATTTTAAGTCGATATGCATCTTTGGGTCCCTTGAATGATTTTCATATCATTATTTTAACCAAAACATGGACCCTCATTTGACCAATAAAGTAAAATAAAATAAAGTGTTCAAAAGATTTACTCTTTAAATTTCAAGATGCTTTTAAAAAATAAAATCTCTCGGATATGCTTTTACTACCGATTTCGATATGGCTCCTAATGAATAGAAATGTTATATTTCCTCTATTCAAATTCTCTCCCCTAGTGGAGATACAATTGGGTTAATTTCATTGATAGCTACTGAACTTTACACTAAGTGTCATCTTGACAATTGAACAACAATTTGCTTCACACACCTCTTAAATTTACAAAATATTTTAGGGTTATTTGAAGTTTATTGTGCAAAACGTCTATACCTTATAATTTTTTTGCATTTTTACCTCCATTTGCACGTTTCATTGCGAAAATCATAATTTTCATCAAATTCCACCCAATTTCTCAATAAAAAATTATGAAATAACGAATATGCATTTCTATTTAAATAAATAAATAACTAATTGTAATCATACTTCCAATTTTTTTTAAAAAAAGTGCAAACGAGTCCCAAACAAATTATTAAAAAAATAAGAAAAAAAGAAGTCTCTTTCTTTCTCCACCACTACCAGATTGAAGAGGGAAAGGGCTGAATCAGCAGATTCGTCATGGGTAAAAATGGGTATCCCGTTCGGAGTTAAAGTGAAGTGAAGTGGATTTAGAGGAGGAAGGCAAAAAAGGAGTTAATTTAATCAATGGTCACTAAGCTTTGTTATGGTTATTACTTGCTCATCGATCTTTAAAAAGCTACCCGTTGCTCACTGGACTTTACTATTTGTTACTGTTTGCTCACTGAAATTTAAAAATTTACTCGTTACTCATCTAAATTTGAACAAGCTACTCGCTGCTCATTAAGTTTTACTATATGTAGCAATTATGGAAATGATACGGCTGATTAATAGGTAACTTTATTTAAATTTAGGTGAGCAACGAGTAACTTTTTAAATTTTGATGAGCAAGTAGTAACATATAGTAAAATTTAGTGAGCAAAGAGTAACTTTTTGAATTTCGATGAGTACTTAGTAACCTATCACAAAGTTTAGTGACTATTCATTGAATTAACTCGGCAAAAAAGGGTTCGAATAATAAGGGTAGGGCTGGATTGGAAATGGTGGCCACGGGAGGAGCCAAATGGTGGAAACGGAGCTCTGCTAGGGGACGTGAGGTCACGATCAAATCAGTGGTCTACAAGGGAATATGCACTTTCAAGATTCAACTAAAATATAGGTTTTGAGAAAAATCAGAACCAAATTCCAAGCCAGCTTCTTCTTCTGTGGCTCCCAATAATCCTCTCCAGAGGCTATAAATTGCACCAAACCAATAACCATTCCCCACAACTCAAAATAGAATCAAGATTTTCTCTCCAAGAAAAGAAAAAACTGAAGGACCCTTGGTAATTATTTTCTTGTAATGGCTGCTACAGTATATGGTACTGGATTCAAAGATGGTCTAGGCCTTTCTTCTTCTTCATCTATGGCAGGTGAAGATTATACCACCCTGGCCGGAGCGATTTCGACTCAAGTTCGGGTGGCACTTTCCGGTTGCCTCTATCACTGATTTGAGGGAAAAAAAGTGGTGGAGAGTTGGAGATGGGAGGAGAATTAATATCCTTTTTCATGCAAGACGGGAAATTGAACGGATTTGAAGGGGGAAAGGTTGGTGGTGGTGAAGAAAAGAAAGGTAATTTTTTTCTTATTTTTTAATTATTTGTTTGAGACTCTATAGCACTTTTTTAAAAATTTTGAGTTCTTTATTTTTCTTTTCTTTTCGTTTCGTTTTGTTTTATTTAAATAGAAATGTATATTCGTTATTTCACAATTTTTTATTGAGAAATTAGATGAAAAATGATGGAAAATGTTGATTTCGACAATGAAATGTGCAAATAGGGATGAAAAAAAAATGCAAGGTGGGGATGTTTTGCTAGTGGTGGCAAACGAGCCGGCTCGGCTCGTTGCCCACGAGCTCGAGCTCGTGGCTCGTTATAAAACGAGCCGAGCTTTTGCTCTGCTCGTTGCTTGTGGGCGAGCTCGGCTCGGCCCATGAGCTCGTACTGTAGCTAGCCGATCCGAGCTGTTCGGCTCGAGCTCGCCTTTTTTGAATTTTTTTTAACTATCCTTCTTATAAAAATAAATAATAATAAAAATAAATAAAATTAGACGAGCCGCTCGTCAAAAACCAGTCGAGCAGGCTCGACTCGCCTACCTAGCCGGCCCACTCGGCTCGTGCTCGGGCTCGTTTTTTGACGAGCCCGAGCAACTCGTGGGCCGCTACAATACTAGCCGAGCCGACGAGCCGCTCAGCTCGATTGCCACCACTATGTTTTGCACAATAAACTTCAAACGTAAAACGTTTTGTGCTAATAACCCAATATTTTATTCAAATCGCTCATTCATTTCGACGTCCATTTTATAGATGAAGATCTAACATACTTATGTACCAAGTCATCAATGATCAGGACATTAGGATTTTCATTTAAATCCTACGAGTTGGAACATGAACACGTGGAATTTTAAGTTAAAAACTGGACATCAAATTAAGACGGTGGTTTGAATGGAAAATTTTGTAAAATTCAGTAATCAGTCAAACAATTTAAACTTCAGTGGTCAAGCTGACACTAAGTGCAAACTTCAGTGGCCATTGGAAAATTAACTCATATATAATTGTATGAAATTTTGAAAGATTAATAGCAGATAACCCCTCTAAAAACATTTTTAAATGCGACATACCTCACACCTATTTGAAATCGCAAAAAAACTCTCATATTTGAAACATTTTGTGCGAAATACCCACTACTGTCAAATTCCGTTAATTTTACTGTTAAAAACAATAAAAATTGGAAAAAAATAAAAATGAATAATTATAATTGTGATCCAAAACTTTTTTAATTTTTTTACAAATTACACCAAAATCTTTTATTTGTACTATCCATATGCCCAAACCTTTAAAACTTATTTTCCACCCCCCCACCCCCAAACTAAACAAAAAACCCACAAAATTCTTCCCCCATTTCTACTCCTCTCTCAATGGATCAATTGGATCATGATCCAGTGTTGTATGTGACTGAATTGAATTGCCCATGGTTGAATTGGTGGATTGGAGCACAATATATTGACTAATTGAAATAGGGGAGCTGTCGTTCGTTCGTGCAAGAAGGGGGGAAACTTTGAATCTGAAATTAGGACGAAATCTATAGCAATTGATGAAATTGGAATGTTACCCATGGTTGAAAGGATCTGATTAAGACTCGACTGATGCCAATTTGTTGATTCAATGTCACGTGACACACGAATTGAAGCAGGCAAATTCGAGTTCGCGACTGCCGAATTTGTTTGATCATCATTAGAACGAAATGGTGCATTATTAGTAGATGTTAGGTCATAATTCGGATCGTCTGGATGAGGGCTATCAATAGGTGGTGGTGCGTGACCTGGGCATCGCCGGAGATGGTTTTCTGGCAGAAGAGGGGTGTGCAACATTGAGTTTTTGGGTTGCGATTTCTGTTGATTCTTGTTGTTTCATGGCTGACGATTGGTTGGAGGCTATAGAGGAGAGTGAGACGAGCCTGTTGGTGGTGGGATCCAGTGGCCTAAAGTTTCATTTCTTCTTCTCATTCCAAATAAAGTTTCAAATGTCTGGGATTGTGGGTGGTACATAAAAAAAATTTGGGTATAATTTATAAAAGAATAAAAAGTTTAGCTACTAAAAATGCAATTATTTCTTTTTAATTTTAACATTTTTACTGTTGTGACAGTATGGGGTATTTCGCACCAAATATTTTAATTGGAAACAATTTTAGGAGGGTTTTTTGCTATTATTCAAATTTTAAATATTTCATTCTTTATTTTTTAAATGAACAGGTGTATTTGAATTCCAATTCCCTGAACATATCAGTAATGGGGAGCTGAAATTTGAGTAGCATAGCTCCAGGGCTCGATCAATTACGGTAAACTGATCACATGTACCAAGAACTTCAGAACAAGAACAAAATGTGATTGTGCTAGTTTGCTTTCAATCATAAACACTAAGAGTAGAAACTCTCGAAACTTTTCCACAACAAATGAGTTTAAACTTTGGAGAGGAGTAATGAGTTAAAATGCATGAGCTCGCTTCGAAAATGACTTGGAATATAGTGAAGGAAAACCTCGGGGATATCTCATGATTCTTCTAGGGAAACCCGTTTACGGTCATTCCTCCATCAACAGCAATAACCTGACCAGTAATGTACGATGCAGTTGGGAGACAAAGGAAACCTACCAAGGATGAGACTTCGTGGGGTTCTCCAGGGCGTCCAAGGGGAGTTCGAGAGATAACCTTATCCAAAAACTCTTTGTTTTCAAGCAACTGTAAAACAAATTCGAAGGAGTCAGCAAAAAAAAATTTCGAATATGAATTCCGAAATAGTCAACACCCCCTACAGATGATCAAGTAATTTTATGATAAAATTCTGGCCACTAAAATTCAATACGAATGATCTCAAATGAGATATTGGTCATTTACCAAAGGCAGCGTTCTTAACGTAAGATCCAACTGGTTTTTCTGTCATGACATACGAGTAACGGGCCATCCAATGCATAGGCAGACTACTTGTGCTGCCCACCCTCAATTTATGATGTTTTTCAACCCTGCAGTTCGCTCATCCCTGAACCATCCAACATGTATGTATTGAGTCTAAGACTACTTGCGTGCATTTTTGTTACACAGCAATGGACACAAGTGGACAATAATGAACTAGATTTTAGTTTCTTTTGTCTTCCATATTATTCTGAGCAGAGTCCAAAAGAGAGTTTAGTACTATCCAATCATCTCTGTCAAACACGCTTTACTTGTATGATTGATTCCATAAACTGTTGCATCTGGTAGAAAGTGGTTGTTTTGATGTTTATTTACTTAATTTCCAATTATTTAAATATGCCGACAAAAAGATAATACCCACTCCAGCACTCAGGAAAACCCCTATCGTCAACAATTAAATTCTGATTACCACAGTGATACTGAAGGTAAAATTGCAAAGAGATTACTTCAGTAGCGCGAAAATTAGTTGGAACTAGCTCAATAATGTGTGAAGAGTTTTAAAGTATTCTATAGTCTACATATTGGTGATAGCATGTATTATACAAATAATCAAATTATTTGAACATTGATCGTCTAGTTCAGATATTTATCAGAGTCACAAGTAAATCCGGTAATACATAGAGATAACAAGTCGACGGGAAAATTCCAATCTTTCATTCAAATACTCTTCAGATTAATGTACAGCAACAAGAAAGGTAAATTTCGAAAGGTTAAATAACAAGAAGTCACTGGGAAAACATATTGTCCATGCATATACTCCTTAAGATTATTGTAAAGCATAATCAAAAGGATGTTTCTGCAAGAAGAAAATGAGACAGTAGCGAGAATCCTGGGCACCCCAGCGATGTTATCTTTATATTATTAAACCATTCTATTTTGCTCAAATTAGATAAGTTCCCAAGTACTCACACAAGTCATGACATTCGCTCCATAAGATTAATTTAGATAAGCCCCTATTTTAAAGACCCATAGAGGTACTTTAAAAACTATTTAATTCATAATTGGAGACATGCATGACTACAAAATTCTGCAGCTTAAACTTAGGCATAACTAATAGAAACAGTTTGTTACTCCTTTGAAAAAGTACGAGGAGAATCATATGCTCCCCAAGCTCGATAAAGTATCTAAGGGTATTTCCAAGAGGATTTTTATTCTCATCCTCTTTATTTTAGAGAGTCGGTCTTCTTTTCAGGAGTCCAACAACTCTATATTCAAGAATTACAACAAACAGTGGATTTGACTCTCCAAATGTAGAGCCAAACTCATTCTCTATATAATATTTTAATCGTTTCATTTGTCATTTCACAAATTTCTATGCACCGCTATCTCTTATATTAATTGATTATTTTAATATTTTACTTCTACTTCTTTCGCTCCATTTTTTTTTTTTTTAAAGAGGGAAAATGTTTTGCCATAATTGTCTGTGGGAAAAGGCAAAATAAAGAATAAATACATAGTTATACTTGTATAAAAAGTTCCACCCTTGTAGTTTTAAAATTCTTAAAAATGCTCTTTATAATAGAAAATATACTCTTTAAAATAAAGAGCATTGTTGGATATGCTGTTAGGAAGCTCTCCAGATTGTGACCTATAATGATCATGACCTAGATAAACACAGCAATGCTGATACGTCATCAATTATACAGTCGACAATCAAATAACTTGCATATAATTCTCTATGAGAGAAAGGACCACCCAAATTTCAATTTATTATGTCAGTTTCATGAACATGAAAGCTGGGGGAGACAACCCAGTATATGATTCGTCAAATATCATAATGGTTCAAATATATGAGGTTACGACTTATAGAAGTAACAACAAGAAATGAAGAATAGAAATATTACATGTTCCACAAGAGAGGTTCTGATATACCACGGTGCAACGCAATTGACACGAATGCCGTCTTTTGCCCATTCACAAGCCAAATTCTTTGTAAGTTGATTCATTGCACCTGTGAGTGGAAAATTTTAAGGAGTATATAACTTTCATCCATTTCTAGAAAATGGTTAGTGTAAACAAATGAGTAATTCACTAGAATAGCTTGCCTTTAGTCGCTCCATAAATAGATCCAGAAAATAAGTGTACAAGACCAGCGACAGAGGAAATGAACACAACCCTTCCATTGCCGGAAGCTTTAAGAAGATAATAAGCAAGTTGGCAAAGATGGTAAGAAGACTCTAAGTTTGTAGCCATCAGATTAGAATATTCCTCAGCAGAATAATCAACAGTTGGCTTCCTGATGTTCGTCCCAACATTATTTACCTACAGACACAAGATCCTAAGAGGCCATTCTCAAAGCATTAAGAACAGTAATGTTTTATACTGATGGTAAAACTTGATTTGTATGTCACACGAATTCCATCGTAGAATTGGCAGACCCCGAGAAGGAAATGATTTGACATAAAAATTCTTAGGAAAAAAAAAACACATGCTAAGATTACTAGAAACATAAACAGGGAAAGATAAAAATATTAGACAAGTTGACGAAAAAGTTAAAGGTAGTAGTATGCATTAGGAACATAATCGTTAAGAATCATGATTTGCTATGAGGTGATGCCGATAGCCCTAAGGTTAGAACTTAGGAGTTTACATTCTGTTGGAAGTACAGAACTGGTTCATGATTCTGGATAGATGCAGAGTGGTTCTGATACTCTGTATGACAACATTTTATGACAAATTATTCACTTCATCCGTGAGTGGCTGAACGAATTCTACAAATATAGATCTTATTCTAGAAAAACATACAACTTTTAGGCCCTTAGTCATTGTAATGAAAATATGAGCATCACATATATAAATGCTTGTTTTCCTAATTAAGTTTTGGAGGGAATTATTTTAAACATGTGTATTAAGTAATAGTTATTCTAGTGTGGAAAACAGGACAGTTGACGTTTGCCTAGCCAGATAAAAAGGCGTCTTGTTGGACTAGTTGTGCTTTTAAAAGAGACAAAAATACATAAACCATAAATCTTAACCGATTTTGCGCAGCTTCAACAAAAATAACACATTTACAAATTTTTCGTGCCAAGTGAGTATTTCCCATAACTCATGGAGTAGTTCTAGTATGAAAAAAGTTCAATGAACAAAGTAAAACATGGCTTTAACTTGGGTAATTAACAGCATTTTGTGGGGATACTCACAAGAATGTTGAGCTTGCCATTGAAAATTGAGGAGACCTTTTCCATGAGCTCTGTTCTTTGTTCTCTAGAAGAAACATCACACACAGAACCACTCACTTTAAATCCCTTTGAATTCCATTCTTGCAAACGTTGATTAAGCTCCACTTCGTTTCTTGAACATGTGAGCACAGTAGCACCCATTTCAGCAAGTTCTTCCACAGTCGCTTGCCTGATCATCACATTATCATAAACAAATCGTAAAAAAATAAATAAATTCCAAAAACCCATAAAATATTTTCAATCAAAAAATAAAGAAAAGTAAATAAATAAAAGACCCAATTCCACGAGTGCCGCCAGTAACAAGAGCGGTCATGCCGGAAAGGGACCATCTTGAAATTCTTCTCTCCGCTGCCGCTGCCATTGATAATCTGTGTTCTTTTTCACGAGAAAACACGCAATGAGCAAGTGTTTCAGTCGAATACTCAATGTGAAGAAAATTGTGGTACTCTCATAATCGAATTGGACGGGGAGTGTTGTGCTCGGCCGTATTTAATATTTATGCGTTGTTTCGATTTTATTCAACAGATATTGATAAGACGTCTATTTTTGCAGAAGAGTCAATACATTTCACTTTTATTTATTTATTTATTTATTTGAGTTATGGACAAATTAAGAAATGTTTTGATTAAGACGTGCCTCTACTTGATATTTTATCGAGAACATTATGAATAATTCAAAAATAAAAATGATTTTAAAAAAAACATGAAATTAGTATTTTTCAGTTATTTTTTATTAGAATATTTAAAAGTTGTGGAGTTTCTCCCAATTTAATCAAAAATCCATATCATTATAAATTTACTTTTTTTTTAAACTCAATTAAAAATAATAAATTTTCATTTTATGATGTAAACAGTTTATTGTATTCATTTATAATTAAGGAGAAATAAGTTTTTCAAGAAAAAAAATTAAAAAATTAAGGATAAAGAAAGGAAAATGGATATAGCGGATTTGGTTAGGGAAAATCTCATAACTAAGAGGTTAAATTTCACCCATTTCAAATTTAAGAGATAAGGTTTAAATTTTCAAATTTTAGATTTTTTAAAGTTTAAATTTTCAAATTTCAGATTTTTTAATGAAGAATTGATTTTTGAATAGTGATATGATAGGAAATGTGTGGTTGAAAAAGAAGAAAAAAGTATTGATGTGATGGAAAATATTATTTTATTGAAGAATGTGTGGTTGAAAATGAGAATTGATTTACTGTAGAAAACGAAAATCTGTACCAAACAGGCCCTTAATCAAAAATCCATATCATTATAAATTTACTTTTTTTTTTAAACTCAATTAAAAATAATAAATTTTCATTTTATGATGTAAACAGTTTATTGTATTCATTTATAATTAAGGAGAAATAAGTTTTTCAAGAAAAAAAATTAAAAAATTAAGGATAAACAAAGGAAAATGGATATAGCGGATTTGGTTAGGGAAAATCTCATAACTAAGAGGTTAAGTTTCACCCATTTCAAATTTAAGAGATAAGGTTTAAATTTTCAAATTTTAGATTTTTTAAAGTTTAAATTTTTAAATTTCAGATTTTTTAAGGT